TCAACACGTACAAAACCCACATGTAGAACGGCTCGTTTTGGAACTCATCCAGAACGGCCCGTTCTCCAACCAGAACGGCCCGTTCTCCAACTAGAACGGCCCGTTCTCCCTCCAGAACGGCCTGTTCTCAACTACGATTTTCAGGTCAATTTATTAGCTTGGAACGACCCGTTCCAGATTGGGAACGGCCCGTTCCAGATTGGGAACGACCCGTTCTAGGCTACTAAATCAGCCACATTTTTTTTCTACGTTACAGCAGCAACTGGAAGACAACCTTTGGTATGGAATTACATCATTTTTTAAATTAACAAAATATTTTATTTCAAAAATTAATATACATAATGATGTAAATAATTTACTTTCATTATTATTTCCAGTATTTTCCGGTCAAATACTTTGATGTTTGGGGCATAGACAAATACAATTTTTGTGTCTTAATCAATGAAGATGGAGAGATGGTTCAAGTTGACATTAAAAAACCGTCAACATAGCGAAAAAAAGGGAGTTTTATCTTAGGAAGGAATGGGGGCAGCTTATTAAAGGTCAACGATACAACAAAGGCATATGACTTAAGATTGAAAAAGTTCATAACTTGAATTTCCTGATCCTCCATGTTAACAAAGCCTGACTTGGCCTTCTGATTTTATGCTTATTTTATAACTGTTGACTTCATTTAAGTGCTTCTGTATGATGACATTCTTGTTTTTTTATCTGTATCCCAATTAACAATCATGACAATTTCACGCGACTTATACAATCTACTTAACTTATTGCGTAATTTAAATCAAGTTGATTTTTTTTACAGTATTATTTTTTAATTTATATGATCATTGGTTGATGATGTTTTTTAAAATATGTTTAGGCTTTTATATGTAGTAATAATGAGTAAATTGTCACATAAGAGATATCATGTTACAATTTTCATGGGCCATTGTGTTAAAAAATCATTTTTTTGTAATTATTACTATGTGACATTATATGTATTCAATGTCTTAGCTTTATTCAATTTTTCCAAACATGTACAAATGTACATTAAAATTTAAACTTTTCATTTGTTACAGAAAATTTTAAAAAAATATATGTACAAATGTACATTACAATTTAAAAACCAAAACAACATTAAACTATTTATTTTATAAAATGTTTTGTAATTTCACTTATGTTTTTGTTAGCATAAATTTCATTTATAGTTTGCCTAGTTTATACATTTATCAAAATATTTTACAAAAAAATTTTGTTTATATGACAAACAACTTAGTGGAACAAAAATAATATTATGTAACAAATGCATTCAAATCTCTTATTTGTTGTCAAAATTAAGTAAATTTAACCCTAAACTTACATAAATTTATAAATATAAAAAAATAAACTTGCAAAAAAACATAATTCATTAATCAATCATCTTATAAATTAAATTTAACAACATCAAAAATACATCACTTTGGCTACAATAAACACAATGAATGCCAATATCACAAACTTCATTTTCCTATAATCTACAACGTGAGAATCAATAGTATTACACGCTGCCATCAAATCTTCATTAATCATTTCAACCTTACTACTAAGAACACTTAATTTACTATTCATTTCATCAACTATGTCCTTCAAAGATTCTATTTCAGTGTCTCTATTCAATTTATCAACTATCCCCTTCAATTCTTCGATCTCACTCATTTTAGCTGCAACTACTGAAAGCAAATTTTCATTCTCATAAACTTCATCAACTAGGTTGCACCATAAGAAAAACTGGCAATGCTTGTTATATCCATCATAATTTCCACAACCAAAAAATTTTCTACTAAAGTTCTTAGAAGTGCTTGACATTTGAACCTTACAAGGAACTCCACAAAAACACTTTCTCATCTTTCTATTTGGTGATAATGTAACCCTACTACTTTCTGAAGATGCACATTCAACCATGTTCCTAAAAAAAATGCAATTCAGAAACTGAAAACTTTTAGTCAGAAAGTAAAACAACAAAAAATAATTCATAAATTAAGTGATGCATTTCACAAAAACATAACTAAGTTAAACATAAACAAATTCAACAAAACTATATCACCAAATTCACCTATGCAATTCACAAATAAAAAAACTAAATCACATATATAACCATGTAAACAAACAAAACTCCAAATGAAATCTCCTGAGCATGCAAAAACACTAAATAGACAAACAATAGAATCAATCGAAAAACAACAAACGAAGGAACCACATAGGTACCAATGTACATTTTTGTAAACAACTAAAAAAATTACCAACAAAACGGACATAGATCTATTGCATGCTTCCATGCTCACTGAGATTGAAACGCCACATTCACAAATAAAACCCTTGACATTAATTCGCAAATAGGATCAATAAACACACCACCAAAATCGACATATCTAAAATGATGAACATAGCGATGAATACACAAAACCCCTTCGAATGGGGTTGCAAAACCCCAAAACACCAAAACACCGAAAAAATAACTAACAAAATCCAAACCTCAGTTGAAACCCTAAAACCTTTTACTAAAATAAACATGCATTTCATACTTTCTAACAAACTTCAAAAGAAATCCCCTTTCGAAGAGTAACCTCATACAAATAAAGCACAAACCTAATTTGGAAGATGAAGATGATAAAAATGAAGCAAACACATTAATACAAAGAAAATGACTAACGAAATGTCGTATGTGGAAGGGAGGATACACGGTGAAGATACCGTCTTTGATGGAGCTTTTGGTAGGGAGAGTAGGTTTTGGAGCACCGGAGACCAGAGAATGGGAGGTGATCGGAAACAAAAAACAACAAAAAATCAAAGGTGCTTGCAAGAAGATGCGACAGAGAGAAGAGGAAAAATAAAAATGAAAAGGGTAGGAACGGGGGGTACACGGAAAGTTACCGTCTTTGATGGAGCTTTTGGTAGGGAGAGCACCGGAGCCAGAGATGCACCAGAGAGAAGATTGAAAAATGAAAATGAAAAGGTAAGAAAATGAAGAAGATAAAGCATATTTAAATAGGCTGAAGACTATTATTTAAAAGAATATAATTAATGAGGGTTAAATAGCAAATATTAAAATATTCTTAAAAAAATACAAGTTCTGACAAAATTAACACATGTCATCGTTTATATGGTCCTAGTCACGGGAATTTTGGTACCCCTAAAATAAACTTGCACTAAAGGAAATGCCTATATAATATCCAATCTTTTTTATATGCCGGCATGCATTCACAGGAACTAAGTGACATTCCATCATACATCAATTCAATTTGATTTCTTCTGGCAGAAAACCCCAATATCAATTCTAGTTAAATCAGTACCATAATTATCATTAAAATCCTCAGACCAGTCGAAGTGGGTCGTCACAAACAATTTTGTTGCATATCAGAATCATCTAAGCTAACGCACCATTCCACTGAGACCCCATCGCATGATGAAATCGGTAAAATCACTAAAATTGTTTGATTAATGATTCTGATTATTTGAGCTAACAACTCCATTCATCTATAATGGTAGGCGCAACATGTACCATTTCATATGTAAAGGAGCTTTCAAATAACTGTTGAACAGTGCAAGGCATCATTCAATCAGCATCCATGTTCAGCTCAGTCCACTCCACACAATTATTAAGTGAATCAGTGAACTAAATGAGCCAGTGAAGTAAGGTTGAGTCGAGTATTTGAAACTCAAGCTTGACATAAAAAAAATTATGATGCTTAAGTTTGATTTATTTGTTTAAATAAATAAAATCTAAATCGTGTATTTGACATGTTCAAAACTATGAAGTTTGAGTTTGATTTTTTTTTAATTTATTCATATGTTAATTATTTTCCTTTTAATTATTTATCAAATCTCTTAATTCTAAAATCATTTTACAGTTCATTAATTTAATTAATATTTTATAGAAATTTAAAAAAAATTAAAAATAGATTTAAAAGTAAGAAGAAAATTGGCATTTTCTGATTGTCTTGCTAGAATATAATGTAGAAGTAATTAAGAGGAAAAAGAAAAGAAAAGAATCTTTGAACATAATAATTATGTGATGATAGTTTTTCAAATAAAATTAAAATTTATTACTAAAACTCTTTCTCATCTAAAACCATTTTTTTCTGCTTTTCACTATATATATACACCGACATAAATTATTCATAGACTTTTGATATTAACCTTATAATGTTTGAGTTTAATTCATTTACATTATTTGTAGCAAAGATAATTTTGAGCTTATTTATCACATACACTTGGTGAAGTGTTCATTGCTCAATATCTCCAATTTTGAATAATTCACGAAAAAATTTAATTCATTCATGCCTCTAATTAGTTCTAAATATCTACCCACTTTTTTTTTATTATTAAATCATTAATTTATTTATTTAATTAAGTAAAATATTAAAAAAAATCAATTTGGTTATCCAGCATTATATGCGTCACAACATTAGTTGTCGAATAATTTTAGTTACCAAATTAATTTCTCAAAGATTTAAATAATTACTATATATATATATATATATATTAATCCTTCAAATATATAATCACCAAAATTGTTTTTCAAAGGCTTCATCTGTCATCAAATTATTCTTTCAAAAATCTAAAATATGCCACCGCATAATTTATTCATATAGAGGACTAAAGTGGTGGCAAATTGATTTTAAGATAATAATTTGATAATAAAACCAAATACATTAGATACTAATCTAGTGATAAAGTTTTAAAGAATTAAAAACACAGACAACAAGAATCTTTTGAGAGAGGATAATGCTATGAACAAAAAATTAAAAGAGCTACATAATATAACACAACGTTGGATAACTATTTTGAGTTTTATTAATTTAAGAAAAAATCATTCTCTTAATTATTTAATACCTTCTTTAGACTGTCTTCTTGTAATACGAATCTTGCATCTTTTGTGACACCAATCCTTCAAAGATGCTTCTCGTTCCAATATTTTACTAAACCAAGCATATGTTGACTTTTGTAACTGTGTCGTCACGCCCCATTTTATATATATAACATTCTAGGATTTATATGAACCATAGCTGGCTATCTTAGTACTTAGTTTTCCTTCATAGCCATTGTTTTGAGAAAGAGAAACAACAAAACAAAAGAGATGTTGAAGCTGTCGTGGAGAGAAGAGGTACTATTGATAGTGCAGAACTATTACGACATAATCGTGGTCGCATTATTCTCTATAGGAGTAACATATTTCGCTTCAAAAGCTTGGAAAAGAGCCACAAACAATAGAGAAGGTATCCCTGGAAGGCTCGGATTACCTTTTATAGGGGAAACTTTTTCTTTTCTTTCTGCCACTAATAGTACAAGAGGATGCTATGATTTTGTCAGACTTAGAAGATTGTGGTATGTCACTACTTGCTTTCACACTTTCACCTTCATATTTATAAATTCAAATTGCTTTTGTTTCCAACGAGAATCTACTCTAAAGTTCAGAATCATGTTTGTTGTGGTCACACATACTGTTCTTGTTTGTTTTTCCTCCTAAAATGGAATATTGAGAAAATTAACAGCGATACAAGAATTAAAAGTTTGTTTGAATATAAGTTTAGAAGTGATTTTGATAATTATTTGACTAAAAATAAGAATTTTTTTTTCGATAGACAGGCTTTAAAAACTTGTAAACATGTATCGAAATAGGCTAGTGACTGATACTTGTTAATTGTTATTATACCTAGGCTGAATTTTCTACTCACCCCAAAGCTTTAACAACATGGAAATACATTATGTGCAAGACAAGATCATAATGAACATGTTTATTGTAGAGTTGAATTTTTAGGCAGTAATAAATTTCTATTCATCTTGTTATAGAGATCTATTCAACACGTTTATTGCACAGGTGAGTTTTTGGCTACAATAAACTTCTTTTCATCGTGTTACACACAGGTCATAATTAACACGTTTATTGCTCAGTTGACTTTTTTGGCTACGATACATTTCTAGTCAGAGTAGTGTCAGTTAATTACAGAAGACTGAAAGAAATGAATTATTATTTTGGTTTAAAAATTGGAGAAAACTTGTATATAATTCTGTAAGTGTTTTAGGTATTGATTCTCAATCGGAATTGAACTTTCACCAATGATTTATATAATAAAAGTTTGCATTGAAGGCCAACACATTGATGTTTAATTCCAATTCTTGTATGAAAACAACACTATAAATGTTAAAAGAAATGCATCTATGTTTTGTATGCAATAAACTTGACCCTAATGTTTTGTATAGTTTTTAGACCTGAAATTTTATACCATAATCAAGTTTATTGTTAAGTTATATTAAATGGAACCATGGACCGATAGAAGATACGTAACTAGCTATTCTTTGCAAATAGGAATGGGAGATGGTTCAAGACAAGGCTATTCGGGAAGATCCACATATTTGTTCCCAATCCTGAAGGTGCAAGGATCATATTTGCAAATGACTTTGTTCTGTTCAACAAGGGTTATGTAAAGTCAATGGCAGATGCTGTGGGAAAGAAAAGCTTGTTATGTGTACCCGTTGAGAGCCACAAAAGAATAAGGCGTCTTCTATCCGAACCATTCTCCATGACTTCCCTATCTGCATTTGTAACCAAATTTGACAAAATGTTGTGTGGAAGGCTGCAAAAGCTAGAAGAAAGCGGCAAAAGTTTCAAGGTGCTGGACTTCTGTATGAAGGTAAAAACAAAGTTCTATGACGTGTAGATGTTTTTACATTGTGAATTAGTTAGAAATTATGGTAAATATAAATTTTTTTAATCATAAGTATACTTGATCTTCTTCCGAAAGCACTCGACAGTAGCAATATTTACGCAGTAACTCGGTCAATTTACCACATAATTTAACGCTACGTCATATACTATGATGTGCTCTGACTCTTAATTCCCATGAAATGTTTGCATATAAAGATGACATTTGATGCAATGTGTGATATGCTGATGAGCATCACGGACGATTCATTACTACGACAGATCGAGAAAGACTGCACTGCCGTCTCCGATGCCATGTTATCCATTCCTATCATGGTTCCTGGTACCAGATACTATAAAGGCATTACGGTTAGTGATATTTCGAAAACAAAAAAATTATGTTTTACAAGTTCTTAACAAACTATAAATAGTTGCATCTAAATTTGAATGGCCTACTTGGATTAAATTTAAGTTGAATCAGTTACACGCCTTCTATGTGTACTAAATATTTCAAGTAAAAAATCAAACTCCGAGGTTTCCTTTGGGGCGCATGAAGTTTTAAAATCCAATTTCTCTATAGCAACTCGCTTTAAACAGTGAAGTAACATTAGTTATTGATGAGAAAATCAACTGTTGATACTAAGTGCACATACATAATAAATGATGTGTTAGAACATCAATGTTATTTTTCTCATCAACAATTAAATTAATTACTTTATCTTTACTCTAGATGAGTCAAATCTATGTTTTAAAATGGTTGAACTGAAAAACAATAGCTGAAAGCAGGCTCGTAAAAGACTCATGGAGACCTTCAGAGAGATGATTGGCAGACGTAGGAGAGGAGAAGAATCTCCAGAGGACTTCCTTCAGTCCATGTTGCAGAGAGACTCACTCCCAGCCAGTGAAAAGCTTGATGACTCAGAGATTATGGATAATCTGTTGACATTGATAATAGCTGGACAGACCACCACAGCAGCAGCAATGATGTGGAGTGTAAAGTTTCTATATGACAACAGAGAAGCAGAGGACATACTCAGGGTAAGATACTGCACATATTTCTAGTGAAGCTATGGACCCGAACCCGACTAAGATTTATTACTAACTATAAGTATTAGTATTGCATTATATTTATTATCAAAAAAAGGTATTACATTATATTATATATTAAAAAAAAATTCAAATCTCTCATCAATAAAAAAATAAGATAATTAAAAAATATACAAGTGGAAAATAACTCTTATTTTATAAATCAATTTTATAAAGTTAAATTAAATCCAAATTCTCTTTCTAAGATAATATCACTATTGTTGTAAGGATCTATTTTGATTAGAAAAATCTTTATTTTCAATAGTGAAGCTTTTAAATTATTTTTGTAAAAAATCTTTATTTTCAGTAATGAAACTCTTAAATTATTTTTGTAAAAAAGCACCTAAATATACTTTTAAGCTTGTATTTAAATATGCTCTAATCATCGTTTTGCTGCTAATTACGGAAGTCTGTTATAGAAAACCATAGGGTTACTTGCACAAGATAAAATGACTAGTTTTTATCTTGACTTACAGGAAGAACAATTATCCATAACCAAAATGAAGCCAGACGGTGCTTCAATTAATCACGAAGATCTCAACAACATGCGTTATGGCTTGAAGGTTAGAGTTTAGACTTTAGAAATGACGCACAGGCTATGAAATAATTACTTGTGTCTAAACTGGAAGCATCTACGATAAAATTTCTCAAATGTCAAGAATCAATCCATGTTCTATCCAGGTAGTTAAGGAAACTCTGAGAATGTCCAACGTATTGTTATGGTTTCCTCGTGTTGTACTTCAAGACTGCACGATCGAAGGTGAGTCACACAACACCTTTCAAGATATCAATAGTATTGTTCGTTTAATTTAGCCTTAATCATAGAACGGCTTTAATCAACATTTAACAGTCATTCTGGCCTTGATAACTGTTGCTAACTATACAAGTGGAAATAACAGGGTATGATATAAAGAAGGGTTGGCACGTTAACATCGACGCAACTTATATACATCACGACTCCGATTTGTACAAGGATCCGTTGAAATTCAACCCACATAGATTTGATGTAGTTAGCTTTCTTTCTATTTATTTTGGCTTTCTTATATGGATCGTTTTTTGCCATGTCCTCGTGTCAAGAAATTATTTTACGTCTCGTAATATCTGCAGGAAATGCAAAAGCCATACAGTTTTATACCTTTTGGATCAGGGCCCAGGACATGCCTTGGGATGAATATGGCGAAAGTGACAATGTTGGTCTTTTTACACAGACTCACCGGTGGTTATACGTGAGTATTTTGTGCCATGCCAAGGTTCTTATTCTTCTTGTATAAATTGACAATTAAAAGGTACTCCTCTGCAGGTGGACCGTCGATGATTTAGATACATGCTTGGAAAAGAAGGCACACATACCTAGGCTAAGAAGTGGCTGCCCAATAACTTTGAAGTCCTTAAGCAAAAGCATGCCAGAGGCATAAAAGGTCGTAGGGATTTACAAGACAAGCGATGACCTAAGAACAAAGCAGCAGGCAATTGACCATATTTGCATATTTATGAGATTTGGAGCAAATAGTATCACAGGAAATAAATCTGTGGAATTATATATTTTAAATCTCCAGTTCTACTAGGGATTGGTAAGCCTAATCTATGGCTTGCATACAATATATAAACTGAGTTACGAGTTGAATGTAGATTACCTGGTGGTGGATGATGTGTCCTGTTAAACTTTGGGAGAAATCAAAAGAATAACCAGCTGCTGGTAAAAATAATGCGCGAGAGAAACCAGCCTCTTTATTTCATATATATATATATTATTTGTATAGTATAAATGAAACAACCATAGTATATATAGGTGGAGGGTAAGGTCTTCTTGTGTCTTTTCTTAGTGGCCCACTACAATAATCCACACAAAACCACACAAAAAAGGAAAGTGCTTATGAAGCCACGTAACACAACTGATAACTATTTGGGATAAACTGATATAATCCAAGTATTTATTTTGACACCTATCTAATAAGAGTTTTAAAGACAAAAGAAATATTTATACAGTCAACAAATAATAATCTATCAATCTGTGCAAGTCCATCACAAAATACATGGCTGATCCCACACTCGCCCTTGGGTACATGTATGCTTTCAACAGTAAAAGGCAGTGTTGATAGCTGGGTTACAAATGGATAACAAACTAGGATTTTTTATTTATTTTTTTATTTTTATATAACTTGTTCTTGAATTTCTTGTCAATGGTTACCAGTTGCACTTTAAACTGCACGCTCCGCACTTTAGAGGATCAAAACATATGTATTGAACATTACTTTTGCTCCATTAGTTCCTTTTATATCAGTAAATCCTAGAATGTTCACAAATTTAGTTGGTACTAAACAATGACAAAATACAAACAACCATATTAGCAATGCAGCGTACATAACACCGGTATGAATAAAGTACAGACATGCTAAATCTCAGTGAATAGAAATTGACTTGTACTCTTTTATTGTATTTGTAATAGCCTGTTCCACTGGAAGCCTTTCCATACTTGAAGCCCCATAAAACCCATGAACTCCTTTTGTTCTCTTCAATATAAATTCTGCTTCTTTTGGACCAGATATTGGACCTGCATATTACAGTACATTGTTCGGAACTGGGTCTAAAAGTTGGCATAGACAAACCACTATTCCATTAAGAACAGTGAACAGTGAATGTAGCGAGGTTCATAACTATATCAAGACTAAGCCTTTTCTAGTTGCCAAAAGTTACAGACAACAATTCCCCCCCAACTAGAAATTAAGCACACAAGGTAACAACAAACACAATAACTGGCTGAGATGATATGGCTCACATCCCTTGGCACAAAGTTTACCATCAACAATCAACAACTACATACACTGATCTCAATAGATCTCTCACACAGAAAACCAACTCACTCAAGTAACAACACTCTCACCACATCCAAGACAATTCCCCCACAAACTAGAAATTAAACACACAAGGTAACAAAAAACACAATAATTTAACTGGCTGAGATCATATGGCTCACATCCCTTGGCACAAAGTTTACAATCAACAACTACATTTCCTGCTCTCAATAGATCTCTCACACTGAAAACCAACTCACTCAAGTAACAACACTCACCACATCCAAGACAATTCCCCCACAAACTAGAAATTAAGCACTCAAGGTAACAACAAACACAATAATTTAACTGGGTGAGATGATATGGCTCACATCCCTTGGCATAAAATTTACCATCAACAAACAACAATCAACAACTACATTCACTGATCTCAATAGATCTCTCACACCAAAAATCAACTCACTCAGGTAACAACACTCACCACATCCAAGACAATTCCATAAAACTTTTCCATTGGATGTTGCATCCTTCCCTAAGATCTTATCGTGCAGAGCACCTCAGTGTTTTTTTTTTTTTTTTTTTTTTTTTTTTTGTGGTGAAATGCACTTCAGTGCTTTGGAAACACATTATAAATCTTCTGTTTACAGATCAACACCTCATTCCTTTGTACTAAAACCCTTCCTCATCCATGGCTTTCTTTTTTCAGTTTATTTCTCTCACTCTTTTGGGTCTGTAGCCAAACACAACTTACGCCAAACAGAAGTTTTTCAATATGGATGGAAAACATAACAATGATTCAATACATGGCTCTAACATAAGACAAAGGAAGATACTTTCTTTCGGTTCTCTATTAATAAGCATTCTGCACTTTGTCACTAGACCCAGATAATTTTTTTTCTATAAGCACCCAAATAATAATAATTGACATTGAACACTTAATTTACTGCTTATCTAATCTTCAAATATATAAACATAAAGGCTTCGAGGTGACTTGCATACCTCCATGGCACAACACGATGACACTGGGATTGATGCTATGCGCTGCATCTGCAATAGCTTGTACACGAACTACACTTTCTTCCAGTGAAACAGCTGTTTTTGCACCTATGGAGCCTGTTGTAGTTAGACCCATATGGGCGACTATAATATCAGCCCCAACTTTAGCCATTTCAATGGCTTCACATCGATTGAATGCATATGGGGTTGTCAAGAGACCTATTTTATGGGCTTTCTGGATCATCTCAACTTCCAAGCTGACAATTTAATAGGAAAATGAGATAAAGTTGTAGGAGGTGTAACAGTACAACCAATATAATGTATTGAGAAATTATTTTCCAAATACCTACCTATATCCCATTCCCGTTTCTTCTAGATTTTGTCTAAAATTACCGTCAAATAACCCAACTGTTGGAAAATTTTGTACCCCAGAGAATCCTGTAGACTCCACCTGTTTAAGGAAGTTACCCATTCGACGGAAGGGATCAGTTGCACATACACCAGCAAGAACTGGCACCTTCTTGACTACCTGAAAACAAAATACCAATTAGCTAGACATAATGAAAAAGAAAAAGATTCAGTGCTACACTGACAAGTGGATTTATAATCACATAAAATTACCAATTTTTAACCAAGATAGTATTGAAGGTTAATACATTGCTAGATCAAACTCTAGATCACGTGGTGATAGTGTTGAGAAATTACGCAAAATTTCTTATAATCAAATTTGCGATAAACAAAAAAAATGTGGAATAATAATACACAAAATTGATAACGGAGTTTGACTAATTGTGTCTATGTCTCCAAACTGCCGCAAATATATTATTTATAAAGAAGAAAATATAAACAATGTTTACAAACACTCAACTCACCACCACCCAAATACACCTAGAAAATAAAATATTATTTTCTAAACTCTTTTCTCTCTCTCTCTCTTTTTCTTTCTCGTAATTCGGAATACTTTTTGTAGTTATAGCATTGTGTTATTTATATATGTATGCAAAGTTTCTATTCTCTCATTTTTTGTTTTCCTATTTTCATGCATTCCTTTAATTCTATTGATTTTCCTATTTTTTTCTCAACAAGGAATGTGTGCTTCTATGAATTTTTGCTTTGCATGACCAAGTCCAACACGTAGGGGCTCCGATACTATGTTATGAAGCAACTCTCTAAACAAGAATTATGCAATTTGCGTTTGTTCAAATTTAGAAGCATCTGAAAAATCAGGCATTTGAAGTGAAACTGAAAACAACTTGAATAGAAGATAGCAGTTGGAAAATACATGTTAACTCTCTTAAAACAAGTAAATAAAGGCATACTGGCAAAACTTCATTGGCCATGTCGAGAACAACAGCATTCGCATCAGCAAAAGGTAATAATCCTGCTAATGAACCCCTTCCCGCCATTCGGAAGCGCCCTGAGTTGTACAATACTATTAGATCAACCCCTCCAACTTCTTCAAACTTGGCAGATATACCTGTCCCAGCACCAGCTCCTATTATAGGAATTCCTTTATCTATCTGATGTTTTAGTTGCTGTAATATAAGTTGTGTTTTCTCCAAAGTTTCTGCTAGCAGAAATGAAAACATTATTTGCACAGTTTGACATTAAGAAAATATTCCTTGCCAAGAGTAATTCTTAAGAGTACCTTACTTCAGTCAAAATTGAACAGCAGTTTTAACATTAAGAAAAAACTGTTGGCTTTTAATAAATATTTGGCTTATATGCGTTTTTGAGAGATTAAAAATACAATTAAGTCTAAATTTTTTTCAGACCAAGAAAAATTAAGTTTTACAAGAACAAAAAAACAAAAATAATGTGGGGAAAATTGTAAAATTAATTCCTAATTGCAAATTACTTGTGAACTTGTTGCAAATTCAAATGAAATGTGAACCTATTCTTGCATCTGGGAATTCACTAGGTGTATAGACAATGGTCCCCAAGCTTGATGCATTTGAAATATGATCCTCATGAAAGTGTTCAACAGATTTAGGACTAGCTACTGGTCGACGAGTAGAATCTGTTCTAGTCTTCTCATTAATCTCTAAAAATGCATCAACCATTGCATTTGCAAATTCAAGGTCATTAATATGATAAGGATACACCTTTACCTGAAAAATACACAATTCTTTAACTTTACAAAACCATCGACAATAAATGAAATAAAATTCAAGCAAAATTGAAGCTTATAGTGATGGTAAGTACTAAGTAATATTATTGGGCTACCATAGTACCTGTCGATCATCATTAGTTGGAATAAGCTTTTGTAATTCATTGAGAAGAGTACCCGATGCTTCTGGATCATAAAAAGGTTTCCCAGGTGCATCTAAAGCAGACACACCCTTTTCAGGAAGGCAAACACAAATCTTAGATGATGAATTCTTCAGTTTATTTGCTATGAAATCAGCAAATTTTCTGTTCTCATCTACTGTTGTTCGCATGAGTGAAACCTGGAAAGAGAAGTAATTGATTTATTATGTTTACATAAATAATAACTTCATCCATTTTAAAACATAGTAAACATCTTCAATTCCAATTAGTGTGAATAGTCAGCATAAGATCACTTATAAAAAACTAGATTGCTTTGGTAGTGGTCACAGAATAGCGGGGAAATATGGTAGACGAATCAGGATACAAATAATGTATCGAAAAGCCAATATTTTGAATTGTAAATCATAAGATTATATATATATATATATATAAAAGCAATCAAGGCTCATTTTAACATAAACAAACATGAAAAATAAAATCATACATTAATATTTAGTTAATAATATATAAATATATTTTAATTAATTTATTTATATATATATAAATATTAAATCATTTATAATACATATAATTAATAATATACATATAAAAATAAAAACAATTTAATTTATACATTAAATATTTTCAATAATAAAAATTTACAGTAGTTAAATAAAATTAAAAAAATTAAAAAAATTAAAAAAACAAAATATTTAAGATTTTATATTAATTTTTTTATTACTTAAAATATTATCTGAATTATAATAATAATAATTAATAATAAAGAGAAGTTACTTTGTGAGACTCAAGTCGTCCCCCGCTGCCTTCTCTCTTAGAAGAAGACAGGTCTGCAGATGCCGGAGAAGATAAAGCCACCGCCGGAGAAGATAGAGCCGCTGTCAGAGAAGAAAGATCGATGAGATCCGCCGGAGAAGACAAATCGACGGAGATTTGTCGGAGAAGAAGACAGATCGGCGGAGGATCGGCACTTTCCCTCTCTTTTCTGCTTTTTTTTTCCAAAAAAAAAAAACTATTTTTGTTAGGGTTTCCAGAATCGGGTCGCGCGTGACCCGACCCGGCGCGACCTGCTGTTTCGAAATCGTGCGATTTCGTCCAGAATCGCGATTTTTCCGATTCACGCCACGATACGCACGATTCACATGCGATTCCTGAACAAATACGAGTCAACGTGCGATTCGAATCGCGCAGCCTCGGAATCGTATCGTATTACTTACTACAATGCAGGGAAATATGCAGCTAATTTCAAGTAGAAAAGGTCAGACAAAATCCCCTATAGGACCTTAAAGTAGCCACAGCAAATATATTCAGTTTTCAAGAAAAACCAAAAACAGAACACCCTAATCATATAGAGTAGTCACCTGTTTATTGTGTTCATATACATTTCTCTGCTGAAACTTCTGTGGTATGGTATCTTTCGCTCCAAAGTTCACCATGTCTAACGCTCCCACACTCAAGACTAAGGGGACTTTGTTCTCTATGATGGCATCAAAACGAGAACTGTCACAAGCCATTACACCTCCAACTATGTAGTCTGCTACCTCTGATGTTGTGATGTCAAAAACACCCTAAGCAAAACAAAACAAAACAAAAAAGGAATAGTTGTGATTAACACAAAAAGAATCTGAAATGAAACAAACAGAATACAAGTGACTTCAAAAAGTTTATCCCAATTCATCTGACGGATCACACAATCATGTGAAAGAATGTTCAGAGACTGCTTTCCCAAAACAGAATATGTATACATATCTCTTAAGAAAAACAATGTGGTATTGAGCTTAATAAATAATCAAATTTCTTTTGTTAGGGTTGGCAAGTGCGCATGTAAAAAGGAAGTTTCTCTCCTGGAACATTCAATATCCTCAAGAGTCAGGCTCAGTGGTTTAGTCTTGAGAGTCATACAGCTAGCTCAAAGGCATGTCCTCTTGATATATATAACTCAAATCTAATCCATTGGAAGCCGCAATTACACAAGACCAGAACATGACCAAAATATCACATATCACATCCATAAAGTTCACTGATATTAATAGAAAGGAAATTGTAACACGAAATTGGCTCAAACAAGAATATCCATGCCACTCACAAAATTCAGATAAGCTTCATTGAAAAATACAGTACTAAGCGGTGATAGTTTAAGTTTATTAAAGATCAAAGCAAAATTGCCCAGATAACAAATTCCATAAGCTATGCTTTCAAACAATATAAGGGCAAACACACAATAATTGAATGCACATAGACAAGCTGTCTCAAATACCTGTATAAGCCCCTCTCTAACTAAATTCTCCATTGCCCTGCCACCAACCCCAGTTGCATGGAAAACCAGGGTCTCATAACCTTCTTCATGCAACCTATCCTGGACAGCATTAACACAAGGAGTAGTAACTCCAAACATTGTAATCCCAACTGTAGGCTTATCTTCAACACAAGAAGAATCCTTCAAACTCTGAACCCTTCCAACAACCATCCCAGCAAAAGCAGCAGCAGCATTGGACAGGATGAGACTGCTAACCCTGTTGACGCCCGCAATGTCCACCACAGAGGGGAACAACACCAAATCCGAGGTCCCAACATAAGGTTCGGTTTGACCACTAGCCACGGTCGACACAATGACCTTGGGGATCCCAATTGGGAGAGATGTGAAGGGAGACGACAACAGGGATGTCCCTCCACTACCCCCAACACCAACAACACCAACAAGACACTGATCCTCATGAGACTTCTTCAAGAAATGCCCCAACGCTTGGCTCATCAATGCAACGGCCTTGCCTCTGTCGTCCGGGAGAAGCAAGGCCTCGTTCGATCCACTATTGTAGGAAGCCACAACATCATTTCTCGAAACAAACGTGAAATCTTGCAAACTTTCTGGCGCCTTTGAACCAGTAGAGACATCAACCACGACCACCTCCACCTGTCACTCACTCCCATCAGAATATGACTAATCAAACTACAAATATGTTTTAGAATCTGTAACAGCTCAATAAATCTTAAGATTCGTGGAATTAAACAATGGTGGTGGTTGTTGCGTGAATTGGATAATTGTGAGTAGTACCTTAGAGGAGGAGGAGGAGGAGAAGCGATGGAGATCGGAGCGAATTGAATCGGAGAGGAATCGGAGCTCGTGGAGCTTGGTGTCGAGGGTTCCGACGCAGAAAACGCGAAGAGTTGTGGAGTGGTTGTGGGGTGCCATCTTTGGTGTCAATGGGAACTTTTCTTTACCTCAATTAAACCAACTTCTATGGGGTGGAGCATCACATTATCATTATTATACTAGGCTTCCCATATGGTATTAACTCGAGTTTCAACCCAAAGCTTATTACCTTTCCTTACCAAACATCATTACAGATAGCTTCACTTGCGGTTTGGATGTTCATATCCCCCAAGGGTACGTGTCTTCAGCTTCTCTCCGGCAAACAATAAAGCATTTAAACGGTTGAGATTAAATGTTACATAATATATATATATATATATATATATATATATATATATATATATATATATATATATATATATATATTAATGATTATTAATTGTTAGATTAAAACATTAAGAGAAAATGAGTAAATTTGGGGTGTTTAACGAGAATTTAGATCCTCTCATGCAGTTTTCTTTCTCCAGCCTCTCTCTCCTGCAAAAATATCTAATGACTCAAATTTAATCTTATAATTAATATAACTTCTTAAATGATTAAATTTGAGCAATTAGATATATCTCGTGGTTATTAATGTTGCAGGAGAGAGGCTGAAGAGAGAAAATTACAAAAGAAGATCCAAATTCGTTTAATGATGGGTTTTGGTCTCTCCATCCGTGATCCACAAATATGTAAAATTATACCACACTTAATTCAAAATATATGAAAAAGAAATCAAAATAAAAAATATTGCACTTACTTAAATAAAGAGGGATTAGATTAAAAATTTGTTCAGATGTAAATTAAAAATGCTTTTTAGAAATTTTTTTTAGTGAAAATAAAGAGTGTTTTTAGTAGAAAAACATTAAAAAAATACTTATAAATTTATACTCGAATAAGTTCTAAGATTAGAAGAAAGGCTCAATATTTTAAAAATACACGAGTAAACATAAAGAGAAGAAAAGAAAAGTGAGAGTGGAGATTCATTTACTATTAGCTCATGCTTAAATTTGGTAAGCAAGTTTAGCAAGCATGATTCTTAGTGTTTGTTGGATTGTCAAATTGAAGGTTTGGAGAGGGGGAAAATGTATTTGCAAATAACAACTTTGTTTTTAGTTTTTTTTTTTAAATCTTTTTATTTCTTATTTGAGAGCATTATTGTTTTGTTTATTTTGACTGATTGTATGCATTGTTGGTGCACTTACTAAATAAAGACCTTAGTGTTATATTTATATATTTATTTATGTAATTATTTTCTAATTTTTTTATATTATTATGGATTGGACTATTTAGTAGCCCGTTGAGAGGTCCTTGGTCTCTACTAGTAAGGATATAGAACTAGTATCCCATTAGTCAGTTCATATGAAGAAAAACATTTTTTGCTTCTACCTTTTCATCTCCTACTAGTAGGCATGGCAACGGGGCGGGGCGGGGGCGGGTTTTACGTTCCCCGCCCCCGCGCCCGCAAATTTAAAC